AAAATTGAAAAGGAGTAAATGCAAGACAGTCTGGCGCACAAGGGAGCGAGTGGGAGAATTTCTGTATCTTGCCTCAGCATGTTTATCCAGGCCTGTCTTAGGCATTCCCTCTGTCGTGCTATTCTGATGGCCTCTGCCTGCAACGGCATGCTGAGAAAGCACACCAAAACACATCAAGCACCGGATTTCAGCCCCCGCGGTCTCAGATCCCATGACATTTCTACACCTTCCTACTTTAGGTAGATACTAAAAAAAAACCCACTGGCTTCATGTAGTGTAAAGTTAAACTCGGGAGGGAAGTCGTAGAGAACATTTTCTCCATAAACCTCCACAGATTGAAATACAATGCAGGCACGTTGTGTTTGACAACACAGATGCATCCTTGTGTTCAAAGAAAGGTTTCGCGAGCTAAATATCGTTGAGCTAACAGTCGTCTTTGAAAGTACCATGTTTATTACCAAGGGGATTTGTGAAAGTCATTCTAGGGCATATAGGAAATCAATGGGTGGAAATGTTGCTGAGGCAGGATGTGTGAAACTGGATGTATCAATATGGTAAATTAGATAAAACATAGGATTAAAAGTCAACTCTCTTTAAGTCATCTTAAATACAGAAAATCTCTGTGTTCATCTTTGTTGTGAGACAAAGTAAGAAAAGTAGTGTTTCTGTGTGATTTTTGTGCAACACTTATACCAATTGTGTTGCCATTATTATAGAGACACAAATTATCTTAAAGGTGAAATCATGAGGAAAAGGTCTGTGGGTTGGGTTCGACCCTTATCCGCCGTGAGAAGGGCTCAGCTATAGTCCATTGGCCTTTGCTTGTTTGTTTTATTCTTTTTTTGGTAACTTAGAGAAACTCAAACACATAATCATATTGTGTTCATAATCATAATAAGAAGCTAGTCAACCTTTTTAAGAACCTAGATGTTTCTGTAATTCAAGGCTAACCCTCCCCCACCACCAAAATAAACAAGAAGCCTAACCTCCATAGTGCAGTATCCAAGAGAAAGCATGTTTGGCTTTTAATCCTTTAATCTTCCACCATGCCTTGGTTTGTATACATTTCAGCTGCTTGTTCCAATGAGTGACTTGTAACATCAGATAGAAAAGGGTCAATGACACTCTTTATTCTCCACCCCCACAGTCCTTCCCGCCTAATTATTCCCCCAGCTCTCGGCATCTGAACTCACCTTTCCTTCAGTTGCACTATTTCGCCTCCCCTGCTCCTTCGGGGTGATTACTCTCACCGCTGAACGAGAGGCTGTGTTTGCCAAGACTGTAGTTTTGCGATACCCAACCAATAACTTTCAGTAGAAAGAAATAGCTTCTCTCTTCGCATCCCATTTTTAAACCATATCTTGTTTCTGTGTAGGGAGTTCCATTACTCTGTAGCTTGCAGGCTGGAAGAGGGGAAGGGAGGTGCACGAGATGAAAAGAGGTGATAGAAGGTTGGAGAGAATTAGACAAAGGGAATGACATGTCGGAGAAATCATGCCGCTGTTCACTTGTTTAGCACAAAAGACAGCGATTGCATGATATGCACCGATATTCTAAAATAGATGCAGCTCCAGTCATGCCCTATGATGCATCCTGCTCTCCTTCTGCAGCTATTTACACACACGAGGGGTGATTATGCGAGCCTGACCTTGTTATTGTGGCCCTGATGAATGTGAGTACCATGTTTAGATGTTGTTCCAGGGTCTGTCGCTACCCAGACGATATTTAACTAACATAGCATAATCCCTCCGAAAGTCTTCTTGTTTAGACTGCCCAACGAAAAGGCAATTCTTCAAAGTATCCCATGCTGAAAGGCTTTGATAGATGACTGGCAGCTTTTCCTTCTTTTACGGATCATAGAGCCTCATCATGATGTAATTCCGCGTAATTAGCCAAAGATGACAGTAACACAAAAGTCATTATGATATTTAATCTCTTTTGGGGAATCCACTGGGGAAACTGTGGATTTATTATAACATGAAATGACATCTCACTGGAGGCCCCGCAAACAGTCAGGAGAAGGTTGGAGTTGACTACAGCGGCTTAAGGCCTCTGCTCAGCTGTTTAGTAATCTTGGCTTCCTCTCCTCCTCCTATTACTCTTGTCTCAGAGCGTCTCCCTGGTGGCACAGATCATCATGATATACATGAAGGATACGCTCGGGTGTGTTCGAAACAGAGGGGTGTGTATGTGTGTGACTTCCTCAAAGCAGTGCATTGAGCGGTCTGTGCACCCCTTGAACATTTAAGCAACACTGTATTTCGTGTGTGTGTGTGTGTGTGTGTGTGTGTGTGTGTGTGTGTGTGTGTGTGTGTGTGTGTGTGTGTGTGTGTGTGTGTGTGTGTGTGTGTGTGTGTGTGTGTGTGTCAGTGACTTCCCCCTCCATCTGCCCGCCCTCATGGAAATCCTCGGTGCATTTAGTAACATTTTGAGACATGGTGCCAGCATTTAATTATCTTCTGGTATACCAACATGTTCCTGCTGAAACATTGAATACCTGATCTTCTTTAGTCAATTTCTTCTCCTGTTCTCGTGCTCCTCCGTGTCGCGCCTACTGTAACTCGGAAAGATGTTGCCGCTGGGAGAAGCAGGTAAAGAAGCCATCAAAACCGATGCAAGTAGAAAGAGTTGCAATCAGTGCTCCAAAGAACCGTAGAGTTAGTCTTTTGTGTGGATCGCTCCCCCTATCCCCCTGTCTCACTTTGTTTCCCTCTCTGTCTGTGTGCTTGAAGCGTTCAATTCAGTAGAGGCTAGTAGTAATGTTGCTCTCCCAGTAGAAATGGCTGCTGTTTGTTCAATTGTTGTGATAGATTGATGTGGGTTGGGAAAAGATGGACTTTTATGCACCTGAAGATAGGAATAGAAAAGTCTTTATGAGAAGCCAATAGCTCGCCGCTCAAGGATCGTCGGATAGGAGATGCATTTTGCTTGAAGTTTTCCTCCCCGTTCTGTGAAGTCCTTGACAAAGGCTTTCCCAGGTATTCAGGCAACCCCCAAAAAAAGGGGCTCTTTTCATTTGTTATTCCACAAAAAGCAGCATGCTATACTTATTTCTGCAGGGTTTCAACAAGTGGTCGCACTAATGGTATCTAGTGTTTTCAGTTTACACAGCACACACATGGCTGCCTCTTCTGAGCTTGTCAAATGGTATCATAAATGTCACAATATGTGTCTACTTTGGATCAACATCGAGGTTAATTATAAGTATGCAAAAGTAAGGCAAAAATGTAGCCTAGTTATAATTTACTGTCATGACATGTCTTGATAAAAAAATGAAGATAGCTTACATTTGAATAAAGATGAAAAACTGATTTGAAAGGTTGGGTTAATGTCTTTTGTATATATATTTTAGTGTATTGTTCCAGTTTTTATCTTGTTTTTTTTTATTCCCAATTCATTTATAGTCTTTTATTTAGTCCTCTCGTTGATCCTTTCCGCGTGTCCGTCCTGTTTACAGTAATAGCTCAAGATGATCCCGCATTAGAGTCTGTTTTCTGTCAGCTCTGTTTTTCTGTGCTCCTCCTCCTCTGACAGACAAACAGAGGGTTAAAGGCAAGTGATTGCCCAGATATGAGGTTACAGCAATCGGGCTTGCAAATGATTGACAGGGATGGATAGTGCGTGCTCTACTTCTTTCCTTTTCAATGTTGTCCTCATTCTTTTGTGTGTAGTATAACTACCTGTTTTGAAAGCAGGCTGTATAAGTCCTGTTTACAAAAGCAACCTGTGGATACAGAAGTATAGCACACAGTAAGTAGTGAGGATGGTGTTGGAAACGCTGCCAGAGCATGTTAGCTTTAACGATCGACAACTGTATATTAATGTGCATTAAACTCAAAGGAGAATATAAACCTTTCATCAGTTTGTTTTGTGGGAACATCTCATTATGTCTTCCTTTCTCTCTCTCTGCTCCTTCCCTCTCTCTCCTCCTGTGCACCATCTGCATGGTGCTTTGTATCCAATCTGAAGGAGGGCTTTCTGTTCTCCACTGTGATGGTGGGAGTGTGTGTGTTCTCTGTGTGCCTGTACTGTATGTTTGTGTACATGTTCCTAGCCATCAAAGTCACTCTCAGCTCATTACCTGACATGATGGATGGAGCGAGCGCTATTAAATAACGCCCAGCCCGGGACGCCTGGCACCCTGCAGCTGGCACTGAGTAATGGGCATCGTGGTGGCGCCGTGTGCGGAAACACCAGGGAGTCATGTGTGGTGCGCCTGCAGTCATCTCCATGGCTCTGCTTCCTGGTTCTGTCCAACCCCACCTGCCACCTGGCTGCCCGGCGGATGCCATGGGCATTTCTGGGCAGACATGGCTGGATAGCATGGGAGGTTGTGTTTATATGACTCTGTCACAGAACTGGCAACTGAGAAAACCCAGAGTGCTATTTGACCACAAACGCAACAGTGGAACATTCACTGCCACAAATCACCAGCAGCAACTTTTATTTTATTCTTTCAATGTATCTGCTTTTGTGGTTGTTATTCAACTACCAAATGTAAGGTTTTGCCCATGTTTCATCTTACAAAGAATATTTCTGAATAGCAGAAACAAGTCTTGCCGTCCTTGTTCCTTCTCTGCACCTTTCGTACAGTACACTTAGTCTTTGTACTTGTGTGTTCCCCTTTTTTTGGCTGTGTGTGTGCGTGCATGTTTGCACGTTTTCTCCTGTGCAGATGCTTCTTCTGAGGAGTTGAGAGGCTCTTGAGTGGAAGCCTGTATCAGGAGTTGAATGGAGTTACTATGACACCAGACACAAGCACCTCAACTTCAGCAGCTTCTTCTGTTGCTCCGTCCTCCCCTGCTGCTCTCCCCTCAATCACCCTGGATTTGCCTCATGTTGTTTTTTCTCTCCTTTATCTGCCTCCCTTAGTGTCTCTATACAGTCTTTCATTACGTTGAGCTCCCGCGTGCCAGTATGGATCAATGTAACAACACTTTCTTGTTCTTTCTCAGTCTCACTCTGTTTCTGATTCTTTGTTGTTTCTTTTTTCCGAACAGACAACCGGCGTGCAGTCCTGGAAAGGTCTCGCTCACGCCACAACGCAAGTCACCCAGCTCGATGATCGCCCACGCCTACCACAAGACGCTAGATAAGTGCCAAAGAGGCCTGCGAAGTGGAGACCTGGAAGACATCTGAAGGAGGGACAGACCGCCCCTCACTGTAGCGCTCAAACACACACACACACACACACACACACACACACACACACACACACACACACACACACACACACACACACACACACACACACACACACACACACACACACCTGATTCTTGGTGTTAATGTGCAGATCAGTTGAAACTATGCTGTAAGTTTTGTTTCTCCGTAAGGACCCACTGTCACACCGTTCCTTCACGTGAACTATTTATTCATATATTCATGCCTAGGGCCACCCTGTCCCCTCCCTGCCCTAAACTGTAAGCAGATGCTACTAAAAACAACCACTGAATCCACATGGAGAGTGGGCACGAGCAGAATATCGACTAAGGGGCACAGAAGACAAGATAATGCTTGTCTTAGCAAGTGAGTCTCCAACGGCCCTTCAATTCCCCAACACTAATAGCATAAGTGACCCTTTTTACCATAACACAAGTTACTTCAGTCATACCAGAGCTTTGCTTCAAGCTTTGTGTGTGAGCGCCATGCCAGCTCAGTAATCGGACAGGAACCCAGACAAAATAGGATCCAGTGTGCTTGACTCCTGGGCTGAAGAGATGGAGATTTTTCATTTAAACTAATCTGCCGCTGCTGTTTGTGATGTGTCTGTTTCATGATGCCTCCTCTCCCGGCTCGCATGCTTCTAAAAATGCAATTTTACACATCAACTCGGCTCAAGGTGCATCCACAATGCTCTGAGAAGTCTGCATATTTAAGAAGACAATAATTCTCCTGTGAATATAAGGTGAACGCAGTCGCTCGGAGAAAGTATATAAAATGAGGTTTTAAGGGATGCTGCGAGGATAAGGGTTTAAAGGTGTGTTGTGTACAGCGGGGAAGGAGATGATTTCCTTTTTTAATCTCAACTTACCCTCTGTTCTGACACTACCACGGTTTATGTAAAAGTATTGTATATCAGATCCCCACCTACACCAATGTCTGCTGTGACGTTTGGTGTTTTTCAACCCTCTGATTGAATACTGTACCCGCCAAAACAACCAGTTCATGGTTGTCAATTTGACTGACACTTTTTTTCTTGATTATTAAATCAAATCAGATTATTTTCACATGTGCCAATTTATTTTTTTGTTTTTGGAAAAACAGAGTTCTCCCCAATGACGGAACATTTCTGTTTTCATTTTATTTTCTATATCAAAGGGAGTACAGGTATCTTTTTCGTCAAAGTATGAAAAAAAGATTGTACAGACTTAAAAAGTTGTATTTTATTTTTATTTTAACCATTATTTGATGAAAATGTATCCAATTATGAACCGTCATTCAACTAGGAGATTTTGATGTGATAGTCATGTGGTATTTCTCATTTGAAACACTCAAAAATATTTAGTTAGATGTAATTTATTTGGACTTTTGTAAAAATGAATTTCCATTGTAGAGCGTGATGAGCTAGGAGCTACGGTGTTAGCAGTTGTAGAAGTTTCAGATCATCCGTCTTCTCTACCACAGTGTGATGCAACCCACACATGGACTGCAACACTAAAAGTGCAGGTTTGATGCAGTTCAATTCATAACATGGATGGAGAGCATCGGCGGAAAACATGCCAGTTGTATTTCTAAGGATTGAAATGGTTCATTTATAATAGAAACTTCTACAATAACAACATTCCTCAACATCCCTGTAAGTGATTGAATCATTCCCCCCCCCCCCTCATTCCATCGTTTAGGATAATCAGAGTTATGTATTAATATAGAAAATAGCAGGAGTGTTTCAGGTCAAAAGAACCTGTATTGTTCCATCATGTTAGTGTGAAAAACAGGCCTTTGTGTCGATCATCCCACGATATTTTAGCTCGTGGCTAACAAACCTGAACCGGTGTTGACTTGTGCTCATGGTGATTATAGGAATGAGGAGGCAGGGGTATGAATTATTGACCCTCTGTAAAAGGTGCCATTTTGGTGTCAGTTTATTTCAAAGCAAAGTTTCAGATCTCACTCGGACTCAGAGACTGCACTTTACCTCACAAAAGATTCTGCTCAGGCAGAGGAAGAGTTGTTTGGATACGACATTGCCACTAACAGAGCAAACTATTTGCAAAGTCTTTCTTTTGGTAAACACTTCCAGCTGCCACATATCCAGTTCTTCCCTACTTTGTGAGTGCTTGCTATTGATTTGTGGAAGACCAATTGCGGCTGAAGGAATAAACACCGCTCGTAGCTGTTAACAAACCCTGTCCGACCGTGATGTGTAAGCTGCCATATCCCTGCCTACCCTCGTCGTTGTCATTATGTTTTATTGTCTTAAGAAACATTTATATTTGTAACAGTTTAAGCTTATTTGTATCCTTAAGAACATGAATAAATAAAATGGTTATGAAAACTGTCCTTCCATACATCATGTAATGTATCATCGTACTAAATAATAACCACTTTGTTACATAAACAGGTTTCTGAAAAATACTTTGTCTTCTTCTTCTTCTTGGATTTATGTCTTTATGCATTTCCTTATTGACATGTCAGAAGTATTACAGTATTTCTTTATGAACCTTTGTTTTTTCAAGTCTTCAGCTTTTGTTTTTACTCTGATCTTAAATCATATACTCAGTATACTTTGTGGCGGGCAGAAGAAACCTGCCCCATGCTGACTTATGGACAGGGATCACAGAGAGCTCTAGGTGTAAGCACATGATGAACGAGACAGCTCCTACCAATACAAAAGCAGAATATTTGGACCTTGGTGCTCCCAATACTTTATCATGCACAGTGTCAAAGGGAAAATGCTGCCATGTCCAATGGCAGCTTAGGAAAATTACTTACTTAAAAAAATAAAAAGTTACTTACTTACTTCACAGTCAGAAATAATACATCCAGAAAAGGTAGCACTTTTTAATAATTGTTGAAACTTCTGCAGCAATGGAGAGTCAGGACTCAGAGAGACACGAGGAGAGTTGGAACTTTGATGTCAAACACTGATGTTTATTACAAGTATCGGCCGGAGAATTCATATCACAAGTCAGCAGCCAGAGGTTCTGACTGCCCGGGTGGGTTGCCACATCAATTCTGCCCCGCCTCTCTCTCGATATACCTTTTAACTAGTTTACAGAGAGTTAATCCACATATTGGGGGATGGTGCGTAAACACCTGGGAACACTGGAGATATCCCCAATATCTGGTGATACTGAATCACTTGCCTGACTCTTAGGCTCTGTGACCGAGAGTTGACCAGTCATAAAACTGAGAATAAGTGCAGCAGCACATTCTTTAAAGGAGATAACAGAATCAGGGTTGGTTATTAACGTCAACAGGCAATAAGGTTAAATATCTTAGGAGTAAGGAAGAATTATTCCCTAACACCCGTCACTACAAATCTCCTCTGCCCAAACTGGAGGACACGGAGGGAAAGAGTCATTTGTTTATTATTTGATACTGAATTATTTAATTCAATAAACACAGAATGCATCCTATGTACAGTACAACGTGTGCCGGATTCTATTACAAGTCATTTGAGTTTATAATAAATAATAAAACATGGGACTATATTTAATATATAAGAAAGTTGAACTGTGTCTTCCTGAGTCACAGCACTGAGGGTCAGATGGCAGGGCTGTTCCTGTCCTAGCATCTTAGCATTAAGCTCTTCCTCCCAAACATGCTCAAATCCATTGCTGTGTTCCCCCTGCATGTGCCATGTACTGCTATCCCGCTCCAGCATGACATAATCAAATTAAGGCTGACATGAGGAAGTAACCCTGTGTCCACAAGGGCCTCTTGCACTCTCTTCCTCTGCGCGCGCGCACGCACTCTCTTCCTCTGCGCGCGCACGCACGCGCGCACGCACACACTGCCTCTGAGTCTTGGGACGGTTCTTCTGGTGTCTCTCCTCCTCCCAGTGTGAGTGAGACAGATGGAGATTTATCTCTCAACAAGCTGTGATCTGTGTTTAGAGATGTGTGCTGCAGAACACAACTCTAATTAGGTTTATTGTTGATCTTGGGAGGTTAATTTGTACTTGGCTGTGAGTAAACAGGCTGAAAGAGGCCAACCTAGTTCCTTGCAAGGCAGCTATGAAGAATGGCGGCTTTTTTTTATCTTCTTGACTTTTCCAGGTGATTCAGAAAGATTATACCTCCATGCTATTTGTGTCTGGTCTGGTGTAATTGCGCTTTGTACCAAGGGTGAGAGATCTGTCTTGGTTGGGATGGTAGAACTAGGAATGAGATACGGAAAGTGTGTTCAGCTGATGAGCTTAGGAGTACAGTTGTGTGTGTGTGTGTGTGTGTGTGTGTGTGTGTGTGTGTGTGTGTGTGTGTGTGTGTGTGTGTGTGTGTGTGTGTGTGTGTGTGTGTGTGTGTGTGTGTGTGTGTGTGTGTGTGTGTGTGTGGCAGGTATACTTATTTTATTTTTTCATCCTGTTATTTATTTCACAACCTCCAGGTAAGTATCCTTGTCAGAGTCTGAGAGATGAGCCAAGCCCACACAAGTTCTCATTTCTCTGCCCACCCTCTTTTTCATGCTATACACAGACGTGTTTCTAACGCCTGGTGACAGATCAGTTGTCAGCGGGAGAGCAACATAATTATGTTGCATTTTGCATTTCCACCTACTTGACAATACGCAAAAATTTATGGAGATGAGACAACAGTAACGATTCCCTCTTTACCTGAACTAATTCTGTCTGAGGAGGAATCTTATGGGAGTTTGACAAATGCACATATGTGTGTGTTCAGGGCGAATGGGTGTCTCAATGAATTTTCTGTGAAAGAATGTTCTTGTTTAATTGTATGCAGGTGTGTGTGCCATAAACAGCCTAGTGTTGTCCCTATGAAAGTGTGTAATAATTGTTTTGCTATGCATCGGCATCCATGTCACAAAACAAATATGTACTTTTAAGAATATGCCAGAGCTGGATACAGTGTCACAGCTGTAAGAACATCTGGAAACATTTATTTTTAAATGTTCAGTACATTTAAAACATAGTTTCTCAAAAGCCGGACCATTGAAAAATTCAGTCATTCAAAAAGGCATGAAAGGAGTCAAAGTGAAATGTCATTGTATTGTATATCATTAAAAAACATCATAGCAGATGTTTGAGTATATATGCCAGAAAAAGTGTAATTACACAAATCAGTTCTGTGCTAATTACAGTAGCAAATGGTGTCATGTCAACATGCTAATCATGATAAAGATACCTACTCGTATCATAGCGTTTTCATTATGTACGTTAGCATGGTTATATTAGCATTTAGTTGAAGCCTACTGTGCCCGAGTGCAGCCTTACAGAGCTCTTAGTATGTCTGTAGACACTACTAACAATTGTTTTCATAAATGTATCTAAAAAAGAGAGGTCAAGAAATGCCATCAAATTGCTGCTTTTATTTTGTAAACGCTTAAAAAATATTTAACAGTGAAACGCTGACATTCTGAGAAATACACTTTTATTTTGGCAAAAAGAATATTAATTAATCTTGTGTTGATTGAGAAGTTGATTAAATAACTATTTTTAGCACCAGAATGAGCTGGCATCATGCATTAACACGTTTGCATTACTCAACCATCTGACCATGACACATTTTACTCATCTCTCACACTAAAGGACACTCAGGCTTCCTCCCCAGACATTCAAAGCAATGATCTGTCCTCTTCATCTTGTTTTTTTCCCTCTCAACCCTGCAGTCACTTGTCACCGTGTTTGTCCAGTCCGCCCTGCCCGAGTGTTACTACTTGGAAATCAATACGCTTTTTTCAGTACATGAAATTTTAAAATGACCCAGACAGCAGATGTGTCTTCTGTGTCACTATACTTCAACTGATGGCTTGTAACACTATGTCCAATAATGCTGCTTGACACTGAGTGATGGTGGTATTAACCTTACTTGGGGAATGTAATACCGACGCATTCCTTCAAGAGTTTATGCTTTGGTGTTGCTCAGATTGAAATACTGCTTTCTTTCTACTGATCATTGCTGCATTCAGTACGTTATTTCCATGATCACAGTTCATTGCTCCTTCTTATATCTCCTTTTCTCCATCCTGCCTCACACCGCCCACATCGACGAGACATGGCTCCCAGCAGGGAGAGGGTCAGCTCAGAGGAGACTTCAACCTGTCAGAAAAATTCACATCTAGCCCCTCATGCCTGCCTTCACCATCCCACCCCTCCATCTCCCACGTCTCCAGTGCTCCCTCCCTGGCACCCATCACTCCTCTTTCCCTCTGCTACCCTCCTCCTCTTGCCATTTGATTCAGATCACTGAGTTAGCCTCCGTCTCCTTTGTCTGAGGCTCCATTTTGCCTGGCAGATGGACAGGGGAAGAAGAGATGGACTCAAATCCAGTATATATAAATGTGTGTTGGTGTTCGTAAGATGGAAGGAGAGGAAGAAAGGGAGGAAGAGGGAGAGAAACTTTTCTGGGAGGCAAAATGTCAAACAGCAATGAAGTGAGGAGACTTTTATCTGTCAAACCTGTGTGAGGTCTTGCCTTTCAGGCTACTGAGTGACAAGGCTGGAGTTAAAAGAGAGCTGAGATGCGAAAGTGAGGGCGACAGAATGAGTTTACCTCTCATTCAGTTAGCTTGTCATACAGTATCAGCCTTATCTGTGTGTGCCCTATTTTTAATGTGTGTGCAAAGTCAGGTTTCTTTTGTTGTTGTTCTTTTCAAACAATTTCAAAACTCACTTATTAGTCATCCAGAAAAAGATTGAGGGCAATCAACTTTGACTTAAGAAAAAGTCAACATTGACCAAATTAGTAATCAAATGTTGCCTTTTTCTCGGTTTGCATCATGTTTTGCAGGCTTAAAATATGGCCAAAAAGTGGTTACAAACTGCTGACTCACTGTACACTCACTGACGTGCCCTACATTGCTCTACTACTAAGCTCTTGCTCTTAGCCCATGGCAATGCCTCCACACACAACACAGAGGCAGGCCTAAGAATAGAGGAGGGATTGATGGATGTAAAAAGGGAGGAAAGGAGCTCAGTAATTGAGTAAGTGCCTTTCTGGATGTGGAAGCCTGAATAAAAAAGTATTTCTTTTTCATAAAAGCCTTTCTTAGGATCATTTCACTCAAAAGTACATAAAAGCTCTTTCAAAGTTCCTCTGTGTTCTTTGCCCTCCACTGAAATAGTCCCTGCGGAGAATGCAGAAACGCACAAACACTCACTGCTGAAAGACGAGGATAAAAGGGTTGACCCTACAAATACAAACTTACATTCATGCGCGCTCTCTCTCACACACACACACACACACACACACACACACACACAAAATAGAGGGCATCCCATTCAGGCTTCCTAACAGTTTTTTTAGCTATGCCTCTTAACCCGAGCTATTATTAATAATGCTCTAGTTGAGACATAACAACTAATTTTGCTCTGAAAGGTTCAAAGTGTTCAAGCAAGCAAAGGAAGTAGAGTTTTGTCGCAGCGGAGTATGACCTGCGAGGCTGGCA